CTTGCTATTAGATGATAATTATTAGACATGTGCACTGCCAAAAAATTTGTTTAGTTTAGTTTCGTTTTAAATTCGGATATGTGTTATTTCGTTTTTTCAGGATTCGGGTGTGAAAGTCAATTCGGATTCGGACGAAATTCGGTAGCGTTAGTACGAACGTTCGGTTCGTTTTCTGTTCTTATTCGTTTCTTATTCGTTTCGTTCGTTTGCAGCAAAAATGACATTTGAGGGGGGAAAAAATATTTTTCTCCTTCTCTAATGTCACTTTGCTCCAACGAACGAAACGAATAAGAAACGAATAAGAAACGAATAGTGTATGAAGCCCATTCCTAACCTGTTTAGCAATCTACTATTATTTTCTCATTGACACACCAAGTGAGAGATGGTGCACAGCAGGGGACTTTCCTCCTCCTTTTTTTCCCCAAGATGCAGTAGTGGTTTACTATAATTGTATCCTGCTTTCTGTACTTCAACAAAAGTGTTATCTTTATTGATTTTAAGGATAATGATAAGCAAAACAATATACTATACAGAGCAGGTGATTGAAAGCAACAAATGAACAAATATGTCATGTCAGAATGAATAATAAAAATGGTGAGACAAAGCAAAACGTTTTTAGAAGTCCTACATTTCTGAGGTTGTAAACTTCTGTTAGAGGAAACCAAATACATGTACAGTATCACTGTATAATGTTTCTATATTAAAGCTTATGTGATCATCCTTTGGATAATAAAAGATACATTAATTTGCAAAGAAGGTAAGGAATTCTAGCTGTGTGGCTTATTCTGAGGGGACCCAGCTGGTAAAGGTGACATTTAAATTTATCTTGCAAGGGACCTCTAGAGACCTAATTTAACGGAATATTAGGAGAATAACAATCACAGGATTTATAATGCAAAGTAACTGTAGTGTAAACAGGCTATTGAGGTTAGAAGGTCACCAGTCACAGAAGACATTAAAGTGAACCTGTGCCCAGATCCTACGCACTAAGGTATTTGCATTTTCTAAACAAACAGTAAAATCAGTTTAAAACAAGTCTTCATTCACCTTTTGTATCTATAACCATTGTAGACAAATTACTTTTCAAATTACACAACAAAATTCACAGACATTGAAATCTTTTTCGTAAGAACAGATCTTGGCAGCCTGCCAGCCTCTAATGTAAACAAAAAAGTGTTCCCAAATGGTTAGAAACCCTACTAGCGTTTAGAGTTTTTGTTGTGATCTTTAACCTCCCTGGCGGTATTCCTGAGTGTGGCTCGGGGTTAAATTTCCTAGCTAGGAGCGGTAACCCCGAGCCACACTCGGGAATACCCTGAAATCACACTAACCTTGTCCCTCGATCCCCGCGGCATCTCGGCGTCTCCTTCGCACAATGCCGGCATCTGTCTCCAGCGTACGCTAACGTCAGCGTCGTAAGGAGGCGGATACGGCGCGAAATTCAAAAGTGAAACACCACATACATATTCTAATACATTGTATTATAGAGAAGACAGTGCTATTTCGTTACTTTTTCGATACTGTAACGAATTATTTCAGCTCAGCTTTGTTCCTATAGATAGTACCAGTGTTCTTCCTGCACTTTTACTATTATATTTGCCTGGAAAACTTGACAGCGTCCATGGCATCAAACAAGCGTCCGCTGAGGTCAAAAGCGGTTTTTGAGCAGCTAGAAAATAGCGATAGTGATGTGGAATCACTTATTGAATTGAGCGACAGCGATGCGTGGGGAAGTTCGTCGTCAGACACTGAAAGTGACGAAAGCGCGGATTCTGCGACTGAGCTAAGTGATGTGCGAACTTGGTGCCCTATTATTATTATTATATTATTGTTTTGTGTAATTATTTCTAATTATTTGTTATATTATAATTTATTATTTTGTTTTTCAAACTTTAACATACATGGGATGTCTACTGGACTCTTGTTTGGACAGATTTAGGTGAGTTATTCCTAGGATTTACTAAGAACTACAGGCCTACAATGTAAAACAACATATTTGCTTGAAAAACAATGTACCGCTTTTGGTACCTAAAATCCTGAATAATCATACCGCCAGGGAGGTTAAGGAACTTTTGAAATGTAATAACATCACATTAAAAGCAGCTAGAAAAGTCGGGAATAGCTTGTTTTAAGCTCTTTTACAGCTTGTTATGAATATGGCAATAGTCTGGGCACAGGCATTTTAACTATCTCCTTGATTAGGGTAGAGGGCTATGGAAGCAATCCACAACTCCTTCGTGGTAGAATGACTAGCCAGGATTTAGTTGTTTCAGTCATGTTAATCGTGCACCCTGTGGAAATTGCGTTTCAACATTGGATCAAACAGTAGGTCTTTATGCAAATGGTGCCTACAGATAAAGGTGATATACTTGAATAAAACACAAGAAAAAGTTGCCTTTTCAATCCCATATTCAACAAATATATCAACAGATTTAATGGTGTACTGTGGACACCATAAGTACACCATTGGCAGCTGGTATTGCCCCCTTTAGCAGACATAATTTCTTGTTTCAAGATGTTTGCGGGTTTCCACTGAAACATGAACTGTCCATTTTAAAAAAACACCTACAACATTTCAATGGGAATCAAACCCAGCTTTAATGATAAATTACACATATAGTGTGTAAATTATCATTCTGCCCAGAGTGTGGCTTTAAATTTAAAAAGTATTAACAGAGTTGAATGCATTATGTGCAGTATATAAGTTATAGTATATATAGTCTACAGTTTAAAGGGAAATCAGCATGTGTAAATCTAACACTTGTTAACATGATACTTTTCATCATCAGTGGACCCCAATTCCTTCTTCTAGCTAGACCTCTTGACATAAGCTAATTCTGTTCAGAGAAGGTTTGAGCTTTATTGAGGCAAGATTGTGGCCTAGCCACATGGCGAAAATAAAGAAACATTGTTGTAGGGTGGTTACATTTACTTTGAACCTCTGAAAGCATTAGATCTGTAAACCATGAACTATTTGGTTTAGATCATTTATACCATGCGTATACTAAAGTTCATTGTCTGGAATTGTAGACCAGTAATCTCAGAAGAGGTATGTTGTCCACAAGGATAATTATAATTTATTGGATTCTTAGTTCATCACCTCAAATATTTCAAAAAACAGTTTTTTTAGTGTTGGATAGAGTGGGGAACAGTTAGACAGCAAAACAACCTGTCATGTCCACTCTGGGAGATTTCACCCTCTCCATGTGTTTTGGTATACATTGTCACGGAGACCAAAAGTTAAGGAGCTGTGGTAACAGTTGTCTAACAAAATTTCCTCTCACTTTCTGTTGTATTTACTAGACATGAAATTAAGGTAAATTTCCCCAGTGGCAAACAGATGGCAAAGAAAAAACTGACAGGAGTTTTTACCCTTCCCCACACCATCCCCCCCAAAAAAGTTTTGGTTATAGATGTACTTTAGGGTATTTGAGCACCACCCTTGGGATAGCCTATATAGAGGATTGGGGAATTTACAAGCTTAAGGAGATTAAATATCCTTGATTCTCATGCTGGAACCAAAAGTATGTATGTGAGAATTAAAGCGGAACTACAACCTCCGATCTCTTACAGCCAAGGAAAGTGCCTCTGTTTGATTTGAAGCTACCATGGTGCTGCACGTGTGATCTGCTATGACTCCAGCCATTTGAGGGCTTGAAAGTTTGGTTGAGAGCTGAAATAAGTTCAATAACAACCATGCCAGTTGACATGCCTAAAAAGTGACTGTTTTGAGAGACATTAAATTGATGGGTAAAGTTCCTCTTTAAGATATAAAATAGGGCATGTTGCAATCTACTGTAATAGAGAGAGTCATATGAGTTTTATAGCATTTTGTAGTAGAGACAGTTTGAGTTTGGTCCTGCTAAACTTCCATATAAAAGAGGACAACAGGGATTAATTGTAAATAGATGGGGAGAGTCAAAAAGTGTATAGAAGTGGGTAAAACTTTTGGGAGGTTAAATTGTGTGGACTTTTACATCCTGGCAGAAATTAAATACTGCAGGCCTTTACACTAATTTAGGAGACGTTTGGGACTTTATAAATAACATGACGTTACACCAATGAATTGAGAATGTTTACATAATAAATTGTAGGAGGATTCTTTTCAATTAACAAATCATTTGAAATTAAAATGCCTGTTTAGATTTTTTTATTTGCATATGATTGGATCATTTAAGTTAATGTTCACACAATTTATTGTGTGAACATTCCCAAATCTTTTAGGAATCAGTCTCAGTATGTGAAGCAAAGTAAGTGGCAAAGACTTGCAATAAAGACTTTTATGAATCCTTAAAATTGGTCATCCTTAGTGGCTATTAAATCAGCATGCAGAGTTTCACAAATGTACCAAGAAAGACCCTGAGAAACACTGCGCTCTTTCATGCATATATAGAACTGGCTAATTAGCCAAGAAATGGTTAAAGATCATTTAGAGACCCTAAAAAAACAAGGTTTACCAGCACCACACTCTACCATCCAACACTCTGCCAGAGGGATTCCTGCTTCTTGGAGTACATTTAACAAGATCAGCCTCTTCTTTATCCAAAAATGTATGCATGATGCCATTTAGGAAAATTGAAAGTTATTTCACTACATACCTTGATTTTCCTTTCTTGGTGCATCTCTGTGGCAGTGTACAGGCTCTCGCTCTATCTTCTGGTGCTCTCAGTGAAGTTAGCGGAAGCTCTTCATTGAAGAATAAAAACCTATCTTGTTTAGGAGGTGAATCTACAGCATGGATGTATACTGCCATGGAGAGGTATCAGGAAGAAAATTTCTGCAGGTAGTGAAACTATTCTTCACTCCCCTAATCTTCCTTTAAACTACTCTACTTGTCAGTCGTTTTTCTTTAATGATAACAATATAACACTACATTTTGTACATTCTGTCACACGCTATACATATAATTAACTTATTAATAAACTTTTCTTTTTTTATATGAACATGCAAAATACAACTTTATGAATTTAAGCTACGGAAATACCAAGTGTTCATTTCATTTAAAAAAGTTCATCGTCTATCCAAATGGTTTTACGCTGTTCTTCTGCAATTTTTTCCTTGATTATTCTTATAAAATCATCAGTGGTGTTCCATGCATCTGCCTCTATTGTTGCATAGAGACAAGGAAGAGCTTCAAGTTCCTTCTCCTTCTGCCGACATGTTCGCAAAAACTCCTCTTCATTCTCTTGTTTTGAAAGCACCCTCCTGCAACAGGAAATGAATTTGTAAAACTTCATATTGTACAAAAAAAAATGTTTGGGTTTTAGACCCACTTAGGCATTTTCAACCTTCTAAAAAATATAACAAATGCACACGTTAACGAAAGAAAAAAAAGTGTGTATTTATACATTTTTTGCATTTAAAGGATTATTAAACGCTGGGCGTTTTTTTTTTTTGCATTAATGCATTCTCTGCATTAAGGTAAAAAATGCCCAGTACATTTTTGACTCCCCTGTCCCTCCACACTTACCTGTCAGCGCTGCTTGTCACTGCCGCCGGTCCCCGAAGCGATCCTCTGTCCCGAACTTCCTGGTTGCGGGGGAGGATACCGAGGGCAGAGGAGCCATAGGCTCTTTCTGCCACCAGTCAAACTGTTGGGCTTAGAGGAGGGACGTGGTTATGGATGCACACAGCTACTGCGGGCATGGGGTTAAAACCTACATCAAATATTATTTATAACGATATTTGATTATTTTTCAAATATTATTGCTGTCTGTCTTATCAGGAAGATATCCTATCCCTTAATTACAGGAAATGAGTAGCAATCCCAAGTTTCTGAAATGATGACAACAGTAATGTTTTGGATTTGTCCTTACTTTCTGTCCTGGTGATCACTGTCACAAGAAATATTCAGGGTGAATCTCCCCAATAGGTACGTAGTGATTTGTGACAGGGACAAAATCCTCATAAGAGTTTTTAAACCTTTCAATCAATATGCAAAAGTAGAAAAAATGGTCAGGATTCTAGCCCCCTTACCATCATCATCAAAACTACCCATTGACTATCATACCTAAGGCTCGATTCACACATAAGCATTATGCGTGGAAACACATAAAACAAAAAAATCAATACATTCTTATGGGGCTTGTTCACACCTGCGCGTTCGCCAAGTGCACAAAAACAAGGAACACATCAAAAAGTCCAAGGCCATTTCAGGGCATTCTGTCCCCCAAAAGACTTTGGTTATAGCCACAAACATGCAGAAAAACGAGTGTCTATTAAAATTTGCACGGTTTTGTGCGTGCGTACGACCACACATTTTAACGCACAAAAAAAATTATTAGTCATCCCGCTCGTCTCAGAGCTACATTTGTTATGGCCTGCCCCAGCACATGTGTGTCATATAAGACTACCACCAGCACATCAGAATCTGTAGACACCGATGTAGGTTAGAAGAAATCTCCACAAAGTGAGGGGAGATCTCCTGTTTGACAGTTGTCACCAGAACAGATGTCCCCATTGGGATATTTCCACTCTATTCATGTTCAAGTGAAAACTGCATCATTTTCAATTTCCCAGTTTCTGTTTCAGTGACAATTGTCACCAGGATAAATAGAGAGGGCAAATATCGCCAATAATAATACGCTGTTAAGGGTTTCAGCCGAACATGCAGAGTATTTCAGCTGACCGAAGTGCAGCCGATGTACGGCTGATATCCGCTGAACAAGCCAGAAGTGAATAGCCGAACAGCGTTTGGCTCACTTCACTTCGCCTGGGTTATTTACTCGCCTGCCATCGGTGGCTATGTGAATAAGCCCCTAAAAAAAGAAAAATACATTTGTTTTTAGACATACTTATCTGTAAATTAACGTAATACTGCTATTTTGAGCACCTGTATACTAGGAGTATTATTATAGAAGTATCTATACCCCAAACTTTGTTCATTTTGGATTGAATGGGGAAAGGTTAAAACCCCTGTCAGGTTTTCCTGCTATCCAGATCTCCCTTAGAGAAATATCCCCTCACTTTCTGTTTCTGGGAAAAACCTTAAAAGAAATATGCACCAGGGGAACGAAAATAAAAATTGGCAATGGTGCTGGCCTTTCTCTACTTAACTTTAAAAAAAAAAAAACTTTTTTTACTTCTGTTTCTGTTGCTGGCAGAGATTTCCCCTTACTTTCTTTCCTGGGGACAACCTTTTTACCCAGGGGCGTATCTGCCGCGAGGCAAACAAGGCGTTTGCCTGGAGCGGCAGATTCCCTGAGAGCGACGTTGCTGTGGCTCTCTCCCCTTGATAAATTTTATTTATCAGGGGAAGTGAACCGGAGGCTATAGTGGCGCCGGGGACGAGGACGGCGTGCTGCGGTGGTGTCCAGATGGCAGCGGACGGCGGTGCTTTGAATGCCAGGTGAGTGGGGGGGGGGCGGCGTTGCTGTTTTGCCCAGGGCAGCAGCATTTGTAAATACACCGCTGTTTTTACCAGATCAGAAGTGAAAGAATCTCTCTCCAATTGAACCTCCAACTGCAGTTAAAATGGACAGCAGCTCTTATCCTTCCTCGCTCTATCCAAAACTAAAAAAAAAGACAAAACTAAGGTTTTGGCTATAGATGCACTCTTAGGTGTCTGCTTTACATGATTGTTTTTTGGATTGTAGGAAAGATGCCTCTATGGCATGAATTAAATAGAATGTACTTGTTCTGAAACTACCTAGTCTACATGAATAGCATTTTTGTGTTCTAAAGGTTTCTGATTTACTTTTGGAGTATACACTATTATATACAGTCCTTCAACTGAAAAGCTTTTCATTCAGCTTTTGATGTGGTTTTAATATATTGCATCTTACTAACCCCTACATGTAGTGGCTGCATTAGTTTTCTTTTTTAGACTTTGTTTCCCTTTATTTTCACCTGGTGATCCAGCAACACTCTATGGAGGAATCACGGAGCAACCCATGGAAAGCAGCAACCAGTGGAGAAGGTAGTGTTAAGGTCCCCACACACCTTACGATAATCGTACGATAATCACGGGAAATCCCGCGATCGTATGATTATCGTAAGGTGTGTGGAAGCCACTACTACTGTAAGGTCGCACGACTTTAAACTTACGAACATGTTTCAAAACCTGCCGAGCATCGTACGATGTTCGGCGGGTGTGTAGCATGTTTGTGAGATAAAAGCCGGACGGGCCAGTGTGCGCAAGCGCACACTGCCCGTTTGGCATTGAGGTCATCGGAAGCCCGCCCCTCAGGGGGCGTGGCTTGCGATCATCGCAAGTACGATCTGCCTATGCAAGATAGGCAGATCGTACGTTTTTTAAAGTACCTTACAACCATCGCAAGACAAAAGTCTTGCGATGGTTGTAAGGTGTGTGCCCAGCCTTAGATGGACTAGCAGATATAGATAGATTTGACAAACAAATTAAAGCTGGACTCCAGCTAACACTTTTTTAGCAGGGTATAAGTTGCGATAAAGATTGTACATGAGAGAATAGGAGCTGTAAGCATTGTAACCCATGTTACTGTTAAATGGTTTGTCTTAACCCTCTAACTGCCACTTCTGTTGGACAGCTTGATCTGTTGAAGGAAGATAAAAAATAACAGACTTACTGACTGGATTACTAGGTGAAAATAAGCGGGAAAACGCCTAATAAGGAAAACGAATGAAGCCACCACATCTAAGGACTTGTAAGCTGCAATATATTAAATTTTTGCTTTGGGTTTAGATACACTTTAGCCACCATGTGATTCGCTGCTTGTTTGGGAATCGACTACTTCTGCTAGTCAACACCTTATTCAAGGATATCAGGAACCCGTTGTATGAGAAATATGTGGTTGACATTGTTAACTTCCTTCTGAAAATGTTAGTTGTTTGACTGTCATGCTGATCCATTGGTTTCTGACATGAAACCAATGGATCTGAGTATCTGACATGAAAAAGTGTGCAGCAATAAAAATCAATAACATACTTGCTCTTAGGAAATAAGAAAATATTGATGCCAGCCAGGTAACTAGCATTTTCAGAAGGAGGTCAACAAAAGCAGCCTCCTACTTTTCTCAAGACAGGTTTTCTTTAAATCTGCTTTCCCAACCACATTTACAGTCACAACGCTTTGCTTGATGTGCATTAGACATCATTTTGTTCATTCTTTATTTTTTTTTACCTTTGAAACTGGTATTAGACATATTGCAATAACATTACCTAAACCTTTTCAAGTTTTTCTCAGAAACCCTGATGAAGAGGATGATGGGGAAAATTTTAGCCTTGATTAATTCTTTCGCACATTCCAGTCCAACATCCAGTAAGCAATGTTTATTCTACAAATAAAAATATACATTTTGTTTGCAAATTGAATGAAATGACAAATTAGAATAGAGAGAATTCAGAATGTTCCTAAATTAATAACTTTTTTCTCTTGTTCATTGAGTGACACAGGATTCAGAGACAATTGGATTAGAGTCCCACCTACAGGATGAGTTGGACACTGCCAAACAAAAAAGTGACCAATTTGGTATAACCCCTCCCACTTCCAGCATGCTTCAATTTTGTAGCAAGCAGTTCTAAGAGTTGACAAGAAACCCAGAGGTGTGGGACCTGTGTCCCTCAGTGAACTTCCAAGAAAAGGATATTACAATGAATACAAAAATCAATATATAATAACCCCTCCCACTCCCAGAATGCATCAGTTTTTTTTGCTAGTGTCTTAGGAGGAAGGATGTATTTGCCTCCTAAGATACCTTAACCTTTTTTACTAGCCATTTTTTTCTCAAGAATAATTGTGTCCTCAATCAATCAAGACTTCATCTCCATGCTACTGGAACTGGTCTTTTTATGCAGCTATCTTGATTAATGTACCCACAGCAATAACCTTGGAGGTAGTACCCAGACCCCATTGGACTGGACGATTGTGGGGCCTGCTTGGAATGTGACCTTTGGCACTGGGCTCTGCTTGTGTATTGTTTTGGTTACGTAGACCTTTCCAGGTCCAGAAACATGGCACAGCCTCTGTTGTGGTGTAGTCTCAAAAGACTCTTTAATGAGTGCTGAGTACAAGGGGCTACTTTGTTTATTAGACCAGAGGGTGTCATAATTATGCCCTATATGGAAAGGGATAAAAAGATGAAAAATTAACTGCTGCGTCACTAGTGGAGCTCTCACACTCTGCGCTCTTTTCCCACCATTCAGTGTGAGGTAACACCTTCCCCCCACTGCTCTTAAAGGAGAACTATGAGATGAGTGATTTCCACTCACCTCATAGTTCTAGCCGACCTGTGACAATGAGACTGTCACAGGTCGGCTCAGTAGATCGGGAGGTGAGCGAACACATACCAGGTTCGCGCACCTCTCGATCCTGTCACGGCTCTCTGCCGCGACAGGGGGAGGGCTGGATTCCCCTCTCCCCACTCCGATCTGCCAGCGCTGACTGGCGGAACGGCGGGGGAGGGGGCGGGTACAGCTGGCTCTGCCTCTAGATAGGCAGAGCCAGCTGTCACTCACGCAGCTGGGCGGATCCCGTCATCTACGTCGGGATCCGCTCCGGCGTCTCAGTATACTGAGCTTATGGTGACGGGAGGACGCTAGTTTGTGTCCTCCCGTTACCTTAAGGAGAACTATGGGGAAAAACACTGACCCCATAGTTCTCCTTTAACTGCAAGAAGACACAGGTTTCCTCCTCAGTTAGTCCTTGTTGCTGCCTATGGTGACCTAGTCACTTTCTGCCTTTTATTTGAACTTCTCTAGCTTCCATAAGTCAGTTTTCAAGGTTTTGCCTTGTATTATAGCTTGTTTGTGGTGCAACATTTCAGATCCCAAACACAAGAGGAGCAGCCCCACTGCGTTGGGTGCCTCCAGCTCATGATACACTAATAATTCCAGGCCGGTCTGCAGTGTCCCTTCGCAATGGCCTAAAACTGACAGCCTGAAACATTGTCCCTCTTTGAGTCCCTACATTCCTCAGAGTCTTCCTTGTCTTCATTTGGTGGGGCCACCTTCTTGGATTTGAATCCTCTAGGGAGGATTTCACCGCAGTTATGCATGATTCACGGATCAAATTGCAATTTTATTTGCTGACTCTGACTGCAGAGGACATAAGCATACGTTAACGCCTTCCCCAGCAGAATCGTTATCTGATCTGCCTGCAATCTTAGCAGCCGCTGAGCCAGCAGTTGTGGAAACTCTATCTGATAAGGAATCTTACAAATCCATACAGTATCAGATTGGCCCTAAAGAGTAGCAGGCAGCCTCTATAAATCAAAGGCTTAGAGAGACCATTTGAGCACTTATTGATGTGGTGTATGCCAATATAAAGATGACCTGTAACTTCTATCAGTGCTGTTACCAGTCTAGAATCTGTAAGGAGTCTGTACAGGTTCACTACTGTATTCCCAGATTTATTGTATCCTGACTGGGAAATTCATAATAAACTATTTACACCTCCCAAATATTTTGCAATCAAATACCAGTTTAAGGCGGCATTAATCAAGAAGTGGCCTGCTCCCACAGTTGTGCAGCAGCGTTCCACTTTAACTAAGTACTAACAATTTCTATAGAGTAGGGGTCTCAAAGTACCGGCCCGCGAGCTGGTACTATGTGGCCCGCAGCCAGCTGACAAGTCAGGTATGCAGTCACAGACCGTGTACCTGACTTGCCTGAGCAGTTACACTGCTGGCTGTGCGCTCAGCTCTGAGCTCCAGCCGAATGGATGTATTAGAAAGGTATGCAGCAGACCTTACTAATCACCACTGGATCACCAGGAAATTATGTGCCTCCTCCCTGCAAAAACGTAAGCAGGTGAGGGGGCGCTTTGTTTTATTTTTTGTGTGTGGGGAAGGGGGGGAGGATATTATTTTTTGGGGGGGGCAGGGAACAAGGGGAGCATATTATTTTGTGTGGGGCCGCTTGCCATATTTCATACTACACGCACGCACGCACACACCCCCACAGCCAGAGTTGCAAACACTAATATAAACACAATAGGGCCCATTAACACCTGTAAGATTAGGTGTGCTTAGGGATTCCTGCGTCAGGAATTTGCGTTTTCCTGCAGCAAGAATCTCTAATGTGGTGTCAACTGTCACCCATTCAAGTTAATAATCAGGTGACAACCGTTGCATGTAAACACCTGCACACAGCATGTTTGTAATTTTGGTTGTGGGGAGGTGTGTGTATCTCTGTGTGTGTGAAGTATGAAATTGGGCAAGAGGCCCCCATGGGAGAAATACATTTGTACAGTGGCCCCCGAGTGAATTGAGACTGAGACCCCTGCTATAGAGAATGTGCAAGTATTTAAGGATCCCACAGATAAATGTTTAGAGATTCTTTCTAAAGCCCTGTTTTTGCTAGCAGGTCCTGCATTGCAACATGCTATGGCTATGATGTTAGCCTGTTAAACATTAGGGAAATGGAGTAAACTCATGGCAGGGGATCCAGCTTTACTCCACAGTAATCCTCTATTTGTGAAGCGATTGCTGTTTATGCCGACAGACCTGCACCACTGCATAGATGGGTAAGGCCTGGTTCACACCTAGGCGTATTGAATATGCACGTTTGTCGCGCGTTTTTACAGCGATTCGCGGTAAAAAAAACATGCGACAAACGCGCGTTTCCGAGGGCTACTTGGCTGTATCCCAATGGAAACACGCGACCAAAACGCCCCAAAGAAGTACATGTACTTCTTTGGGCGTAGGACCATTTTGTAGCGCGTTCAGACGGGCAGAAATACGGAAAGGTGTGAACCATACCCATAGAAAACAATGGGATTTTCATGTTTGTGCGTTTTGTAGAGCGTTCATACAGCAATGAAAGCGCGACAAAACGTAAAGGTGTGCACAGGGCCTTAGTGGATCTCCCCTGTCTTAATTCCCTCATGGGTGTTAACATGCAGAAAATTATTTGGTTGAAATGTTGCCCGCAGAACATCACAGCATATAAAAAGTGTTTACTGTGCATGCCATTCGAGGGACAATCAGCCCCTCTTCGAGGGTTTTAAATAGTGATGCACCATTACCAGTATCGGTATTGGTGCCGATACTGAGCATTTGCACAAGTACAAGCACTGGTACAATATTTTTGCTCCGATACCAAAAACCAATACCAGTTCCTTAATTATTCACATTGAAGTGGCTGCCGTAGGTCCACCTCTTGCTGGGGACCACGCAGCGCCTGTTTACAGCGCTTTCGCCTGGCCTGCACATCTCTCCCTCCTGAGATCCTCTTCCCCTCCTGAGTCCCTCCGCACGTCTCCCCCCCTGAGACCCTCCACACGTCTCCCCCTTGAGAGGCCCACCGCCTGAGACATCAGGCCAGCACACTGGAGCAGAGCGGCAGCACAGAGTATCAACAGGTATGGTGCAGCAAAACTGCATCTGAACTCCACAGTTTATTTTAGAAATATTGCCTGCTGTTTCTATCCTGTGCAATGCTGCATAATGTATTGCTTTGATTTGTAGTCCTATATAGCTGATGGTATTATTCTGCATTGCTGTGTAATGGATTTGTAGTCCTCTATCGCCAGTGCTATTCTGCATTGCTTTATAATATATAAAGCAGCACCTTGGAGCAGAGCGGCAGCACAGAGTATGTACAGGTATGGTGCAGCAAAACTGCATCTGAACTCCACAGGTTACTATAGAAATATTGCCTGCTGTTTCTGTCCTGTGCTTTTTACTGTAGTGCAATGCTTTATAGTCTTCTATAGCCAGTGCCATTTTGCATTGCTGTATAATGTATTGCTGAGATTTGTAGTCCTCTATATCTGAGGGTATTCTACATTACTGTATAATGTAATGCTGGAATTGTTAGACCTTTATAGCCAATGCTATTTTGCATTGCTGTATAATTTATTGCTAAGATTTGTACTCCTCTAAAGCTGGTGGTATTCTGCATTGCTATATAATGTATTGCTGAGGTTTGTAGTCACTCTACAGCTTGGAGTCAGTGGCAGAACTACCAGGGTCGCAGCTGTGACCGAGCCCTGGCACTCCTCCTCTGTCCTAAAATCATTAGTCTGTATTGTTTTAGAAAAACTGTCACATGGCACTTTAAAAAATATCGGTAATTGGTATTGGCGAGTACTTGAGGAACAGTATCGGTACATCGTACTTGGTCGGCAAAAAATTGTATCAGCGCATCTCTAGTTTGAATGCAGGCCATGTGACCCCAAATCCTTCATACATGTGGATAAGTCCTCCTCCAGAGTGTGGGGGTTGTATGTTAGACTTTCTGGACATTTAGATGGACCACAGCCTGGGTAAAAGAGGTAGTTTCAATAGGCTTCAAAATAGAATTCTGTTTGGTAACCCTGTCCTTTCTTTGTGTCCTTCAAACTTACTGTGTCACCACTCAAAATAGCAGTTCATGTAGTCCTTGCGGATCTTCTGGAGCAAGAAGATATCACCCATCACAGTTTCTATGTCAGAAAGGATTCAGGTTTTCTTTTGCAGCTCCTCACAGTTCCAAAAAGCGAGCTTTTGGTCCCGAAAATTCTGTATGGAATCCACCTAGTCAGTCACATACTCTCTCTTTATCAGGGAGACTCTGGCTTCAGTAGACATCAAGAACATGTACTTGCATGTCCCAATTTTACCAGTACATCTGCAGTTCTTCACTTTGCTGTGGGTCCTCAGCACTTCCAGTTCAAAGCCCTATCTATCTTCCACACCTTGCATTTTCACCAAGTTCTAGTCCCTGCTCTGCTTTGTTACTCTCCCAGGGTATCCCCAATGTGGTGTGTAAAGTTACTCCTACTCCTCATTGTAGCACACACTGACATCAATCCAGCAAAAACATAGGTAAGCCTAATAAGGTTACTTGCCACCATGTTGCCATCATGAACACATATGTGTAATTCTGCTCAGTAGAAAGTAGTTGAGACTTAAAAATGAATGAGTGTTTAGGGGAAGAAGACGTTGCTACAGTGTGTGGATTATGCTTGAATGGCTGTCTAGCAGATGTCCTAGTGATGCCCATGATAATAATGACAATGATAGATTCCAGCCAGGGGTGGTGTATAAGGCAACTGGGACCTAAGATTCAGATGGACCTATTACTATGCAGTATGGAAGTACGCAGTTTACTAAGAATGTATCCGAATGGATTACTGTACCTTAGCAACAACAGCTTCAATATTAGCAGATGTGATGCATTCATAGGTGCTTGCGTTCCTCTCTCTGGAGTAGATAATTAGCTCACATTCATGTTTCTTCTGAAATGCTTCTTTTGTTGCAATTTCTAGGATGAAAAGAATTTATTAATAACACCAGAAGGTAAAACATGACAGTGTATCTATACCAAAACATTGTTTTAGTTTTGGATGAAATAGGGAATGGTTTAAACCTAGTAAGGTTTTTTTCTGTCTGTGTCCTACTGTTCCTGAGACACAACAGGAAGTGAGGGGAAATTCCATCTTAGATACTTGTCACTGAGTATGTATCCCCATTGGAAGATTTACCCAAAGCTCCTGTTCTAGTGGCAACTGTATAGTTTTGGATATTGCCATTACTTTTTGTCCTTAAGACGTAGTCATCCTTGTCAAGCCCTGGCTTGACAAGGCTTGACTGGCTTGACAAGGAACACTACGTCTTCGAAACGCATTGCCATAACGATAGGAACTTCCGTCCCACGTCTGGGACGCCCTGTACACCACCTTCGGTCAGACCGGACATTACGGCATCTGCACCCGCCTCGGCACCAGCACTCATCAACCCGCCGCCACCAGCGCTCCACAACGAAGAAATCCAACCAGCCTCCACCCAGCTATCCTCGAACCTAACGGGACCCCTTCAGTACCCACGACACCACCACCCTTGCAGTTGCCCATCCAGTCAGCATACACACTGCATTCAACACGGAGGAATCGAAAGGAGAAACTACAATCAACTCCCCATCGCAGAGACCCCGACGCCGTTGATTGCAGACGCAAGCAAACCTCATGGTGAGTTACTACACTCTCTTGTTTGCTTGACAACAGCATTTCATGCCTCATCTGTTACCTCTCTCGCCTTTAAACACCAAACGAAGTTTTGGATGACACACAAACCTCCATCAAAGCCCCCCAGGCCTGAACACCCCCTGCCTGCAAGGGTAGTAGCGCTTTAGACCTCCTTTTTTGTTTAAAAAGCAATAAAAACCTGAAGGGGGTTCTATGCCTAACCTACTAGATTCAATTCAATCAAAAAGGTTTTGGCCAGATATACAGTACATTAAAAGAGCTAAATTTCAAGCAACTTATGAAAGGTTCTTTTTGAAAAACTTTGAAACCCTCTGGGGTTACATACTAATGCATTGCTTCTTGTGTTTGCTACAGTAAGATTTCCACTTTCTCATGTGAAAATCTCTTGGTAACCATATGCTTAAAGCCCAGCTGAATCTTCTGTTTAAATCAGCTAAATCCAATCCAGTTGCATCAAAACAAAAGACATGCAAAGTTTTACAGTTCATGTTTTGTAAAAAGCAGCCACAGCCTCAGTAGAAAATCCTGCTCCATCAGCAGCTTCAGAGTGGGATCCTTGAACTCCATGAAAAAGCAGTGATATATTTGCAGAGGTCCAAAATGCCCCCTACTGAGATATACTGTACCTAGGGCTCTGCAATCAGAAGTTAATGCTCTGTGCTGATTAGAGAGCTTTGGCTCTGACTCAGGTGGGGCATGTCTGACCTCTGCACAGAGATCACTGCTCCTGCTCTTCTGGCAGGGGACATGCTTTTATGCTCAGGCTGTGGCTATTTTATAAATAAAATGAACTGTAAAACTATGACGCCTTTTGTTTTGATTCGCCTGGAATGGATTTAGCTAATTTAAACTGAAGTTTCAATAAGGCTTTAAATTTATATTAGATTTACAATAGATGCCATATATTTACCTCTATTGAACCTGTTTCATTTGTTTTGTAAATTATATTTACCTGGCTTACACATGTTAAAATCAACTGCACCAGGACTGTTTATGAGCTTTTGAATGATGGGCTTTGCCATTGTGCATGGTGCAAAGAGTACCGGTCTCCTTTTTTCAATTTGGATAGGGTGTACCAAACTGTAGGGCACGAGATTAAAGTTTTTTTTAATGTCATTTTCAGGATCCAAATCTAGAAAAGAAAATCATGTGACAAGAGATTTCAGAGTTAGTGTGATCTAAATAGCCATTGTGTTTTGTCATGAGGGATGAGTTTAAGGCCCTCAACATCTCTGGTAACCAAAAAAAAAAAAAAAGACCTGAAAAAAATGTCACTTTCTAAGAACAATACAATGCAAACAGGGCTGGAAGATGGCCATTTAATACTAAAGCAAAAAGGAGTTTACACCTCTCACAGCACCAGAGAACATACATGCAGGCTTGTTTTCTTTTATGCATAATTTTTTATTAAAACCATAAAGTAGTTCACCTTTTGACTTATGTACACGGTTATTTGTTCACATTAGAGCTGCTTTTCATTCCATTCAAGTCAAAGGGAATGCAAATAGCTTGATGCAGCTTAGGTCACCTGAAACTGATCCAAAATGCAAGCTGAATGCACTATTTAAAACCATCTAAATGCCCTTTGGCCAGCACAACTACATAAAGCTATATAAGTAAGATTCCTACAAATGCTGAAGGTGGTGCCATTGTATCGTGCATAACCAAGTGTCACAAATTAAAGGTCAGAAAACTTTACCTATATTAATAAACTCCAGGTTGCAATTCGTATTGTATTGTTAAAATTCATCTCATCTTTCCCTTTTTAATCTATGATGCTTTTTTCCTCCTTCCTTGAGCATTCATTTCAATAGGAGAAGTACTCTAAGAGGAGGATATGTATCCCCTAATACAAGCAGAATATTGTTTAGCAAAATAATCTATTTACCTTTCTTATGAGTTCATTTAGGGCTATTAAATGATTGTGCAGATTTCTGAATATGTTATACAACATTTAGAAAAAAAACTACACACAATGTATAATAAAGCAGTGTCAAATATGACATATCAAAAATCACTAACCGATAATAAAGACAGACTGTTTACTACAGGGCAACTAAACAAACAATGACAAAGTGCAGTAACTATAT